CCTCCAGCCCAGATCAGTGCTGGGTGAGCACGGCCATCGTCCGCGTTATTTATTGCCCGGCAGAGCTCCCGGCCCCTCTTCCTGTCCGTGCACAGCGGATGATGACTCAGGGGAAGGCTATGTCTCCACCAAGGGGTTTCCAGAAGGTCTCAGGGGGCCAGGCCACCAAACGCAGCGCAGAGCAGCTCACAGAGGAGCACTTGCTTTCCTCTGATGCTCTCCAAGTCGGTGCTGGGAAGCTTCGTCTCGCTCTCAGTGCCATCTCTTCTTCACTCACCAACCCGTTCCACCTCACGCTCCTGTGCACGACTGCCCTCTCCGCCCCCTCGCCCTGCGCACCCACACCTGCCCCGTGAGCCGTGGGAAACGGCCGCCGCGGGCACATTCCAGGCCTGCGAGGAGCTGCGCCCCGGCCGCCCTCACTCCGGGAAGCCAGAGTGGGGAGCAGAGCCAGAGGGCGGGGGGGCAGCCACCCTGGCGTCTTCCACCTGCCGCGAGCCGGGCCGGGGACCGCAGGGGTCCCGGCGGCACTGAAGCGGGCGTCACTTCTGTCGGGACCCTGCGCGCGGCCCGGCCGACACCCAGAGCGGCTGCGACCCCAGCTCCCCATTTCACCCCGGCTGCTCGGCCTCGAGGCCCCTCCCATACGTAGCGTGGACGGATCTCAACGCATTTCCTCTGCCAGGGTCGCCACCGGTTTTGACAACGACCTCCACAACCTTCAGCTCAGCATCCTCCCCTCTCCTGTTCCACCAGGTGGCGTCGTGCTCCTCAGAGAAAACGGGGCGTCCTGCCTGTCCCCCGGAGACGCACCCTGCTCCGCCCGGGGGTGCGGGGAGGGGAGAGGTGCCCCCCCAGCACGGAGTCCCTTCCCAGAGTGACCTGGGGGCAGGGCGCCAGCTGGGTCAGCCTGCTCCCTCCTACCACGGGGCTCGGGCTGGGAGGAGGGCGGGAGACGCCGCTGCTTCCCTCCCTGGGGGGAAGCCACAGCCACAGCGGAGCTGGGGTGACAGGGCTCCCACACTTCTGGGTGCACGTGTCCAGGGTGGAGCCTCCGCCACTGGGAGCCACTGGGCCGTCGTGGCTTAATGCCTTAGTCTCACTGTTCTCACCAGGATGAATTCATGATTCTCCATTCCCTTTTATGGCATTAGGGCAATTTCCAGAGGGTTTTTAAAAAAGATTTTATTTATTTATTTATTTTTGGAGAGAGGGGAAGGGAGGGAGAAAGAGAAGGAAGGAAACATCAGTGTGTGGTTGCCTTTCCCACGTCCCCTACTGGGGACCTGGCTCACAACCCAGGCCTGTGCCCTGATTGGGAATTGAACCGGCGACCCTTTGGTTCGAAGGCTGGCTCTCAATCCACTGAGCCACACCAGCTGGGACTCCAAAGGTTTTTAATGATTTGTTCTTTATAATTTTCATCAGGGAAATTGTCCTTTTGGTGGGGAGAGGGTTCTCTGAGCTCCTTATTCCCTCATTCCAGAACTCCCACTGGTTGCTCTGGAAATGCACCTTCTCATAATTCCATGAACGTGGCACGTGACGCCTGCCTCACACTGGATCTGCCTGTCAGCCGCCTCATCAGCTGTGACTGTGATTGAACAAGCAATGAAATAAACTCTGTGTGGAACCATGCCTAAGAATAGATGTATCAATTATGTGGCAAGTCTTTAAAAGCATGATACAATGTATTTGGTCACATGGCTTTCACCAAAATCATTGTTGCGGGAGAGCTAAGTGTGTTTACACTGCTCATAAAGTGAAGTAAAATTAAAGTGCTTATTTCTATTGTACCACTATTTAAAACTATATCTTGTGCTCTGGCCGGTGTGGCTCAGTTAGTTGGAGCGTTATCCTGTAAACCAAAATGTTTCAGGTTCAATTCCTGATTGGGGCACATGTTTCTCCCTGTCTCTCTCTCCCCGTCCCTTCTCTCTCTCTAAAATCAATGATTGTGTCCTCTGGCAAGGAAAAAATAAAAATAAATCTTTGTGCAACCGTCTGTAAAAATTAAACACACAAGTGCATCTTCTGTGCATGCTTCTGAGTGCACAACCTTCAGCTGCTGCCGTGAGCTCCCGGGAGTGACTTGTACCTCTCGGTCTTGGGCAACACGGACCCCAAGAAAGGCACATTCTGCATGCAACTGGGGGCTGAACTGCGTTTTGACTGAAAGAACAAATAGAAAAGAATTTAAATGCTCAAGAGGTCTCTCAATATTGTTCCTTCAGCAAGCAGTTCACGCCCCGGCTCGGAGGGTGTGCCGGCCGCCTGTGGCCCCGTGGCCGAGAGCCCAGCGGTGCTGAGGAAGTGCTGGCCGCCGCTCGGTCCCCCGGGGTTCCTGGGGAGCCCGGGGCCGGGTCACGGCATCAGGTGGGCCAGTCTCATGTCATCCCTGTACAGCCACACACACACAGCGCCGCCGGGCCGGCAAAACACCGCCTTCCCGGGGACCTGCCTCCTGCGGACACGCGGGGAGAAGGGCCCGGGGTAAAATGCAATCACTCCGTCTGCAGCTTGCTTTTCACTTTCCTCCTCCAACTCCCCCACGCTCTATTTTTAATCCTCGCTCAACAACACACTTTACAAGCTGGAAGGAGAGAACACCGCATACAGGAAATTAAGCCAGGAGGTGGCACGAAAACAATTCGAAGCAATCAGCTAAAGTGCTCTCGCTGCACTGAGGAGCGTCCCTCCGGAGGAGCGTGCGCCAGGGGGTCTCTGTTTCCCGCAGTGGCAGTGCGCCCGAGCCGCTGTCTCTAGCGTTTGGGTTCGAGTTCAAAATTTACTTCTCGTGTGACCAATAAACCAGTCGAAGTGCTGTACCACGACAAGGCTCCGATGACATTGCAGTTTTTCCTGCAGATGTCTGTCCTTCCCGTGCGCCTGAAGCACGTCTCTGGTTCTCCGAGACGTTTTCAATCGGCCGCCCGTCACGCGCTTGGTGCACACCGGGTGGCAACAAACGCCTGCTGCTTGGTGGAGGGTCACCGGGCGTGAGGTTTTCTGTGCCGCGCGATCCTCTGAAGACAGGCTAGTGCATGGCCAGAGGCTGCAAATTAACAGGCAGCAAATGCCGCCGTGGAGGCTGCACCCCGGCCCCTCGGCACCGCAGGGGCTGGGAGACGTGGCGAGTGTGCGACTCCGCTGAGAAGTGAGGGGCTAAGCCACCGGACAGCCACGCCGATCGGCAGGTGACTGAACGTGAAGACGAGTGACACCAGCTCCGGGCACCGTGTCCGCACTGGGCGGTGGCTCAGAGCAGGTCCTAACGGCGTTCTCGTCGGCACTCCCCCTCGCAGCTCCGACCCAGCTCCACCGGCGGCGGGGTGGGAGTCAATGCGGGGGCGTCACGGAGCCCCTGCAGCACGCGTGTCTGCCAGACACTCACACGTGTGCCCTGGCCTCTGTGGAATGTGGGCTTCGAATTTTAGAAGGAAAGAGGGAAAAGGCGTTTTTAAAATACAGCCGCGAACACCATGTAGTTGAACCTGGATGCAGGTATTTCTCCCACACAAGAGCCTCTCGCCTGGCACCCGGCAGGACCGCTGTGGGCGGAGGCGACAGGCAGGGACCCTCCCTGCAGGGCTTGCGCTGGTTCCCCCCGCGCCTGCCGGACATTTCCCCCCTGGCATTTTAGGGGCCGCTGAGGGGGTGACTGACTACATGTTTGGAAGACGAGTTCTGCCTGTGATGCTTTGGGGCTCTTCTCTGACCCCCCCTCATCCAGGGAAAGCGTCCAGTCCCTGCTGTTTCCAGAACGACGCTGTGAGCACACGCCCGCTGGACAGGAGACGCTGGACAGGAGACGCCCAGAGTCTTCCGAGAATCACGCGTGAAAATGAGGCGTGAACGCGCCCATCTCCTCGACGGAGAGTGTGTGTGTGCGTGTGTGTGTCTCTCTCTCTCTGACACACTCTGCCAACCTGATGGGAGGGAGAGGCCTCGGATGTCCGTCCGTATTTCCTCGTACCTGGCTAGGGAGCTGTACCAACAAATGGATAACTATCTGCTAAACTAAAAATAAGTAGAAACTACAGGAAAAAGTTACACGACAGACTGTGCATTTCTACAAATACACATTGTTCCATTAAAAATGTCCAAAATAACACTTGTTTTTTAAACTAATTGTATATAAACAATATAGGAAAAATACAGGGACATAGAAGAAAAATGTAAAAGACCAGGTCAGAACTCTTTGCGTTTTGGTGTACAAAACTGGCTAGCCCAAAATCGAGCTCAGGTTAAAGTCACAACAAAATTCTGAAGTTGGGAAAATTTATCCTCAGAACCTCTGTCCCCTGGCCTCCCCCCTTCTCCAGCTGGGGGAGCATCGTGGAGCAGAACCCGTGGACCAGAACCCGTGGACCAGAACCCGTGGGGCAGAACGGGGAGCCCAGAAACGGACCCACGCAAGGGAGGTCAGCTGATGTGTGACGAAGAAGCCAGAGCAACTCGTGAGGGAAGAAGAGTCCTCCCAGCGAACGGTGGGAGACGGCGAGACGAGAGGAGAAGTGGACACAACGTGCACCTCCCACCTCTCACCCCAGTTCACTCCGAACGGTCACTGAGCCCAGGGCAGCACGCGGGGCCACGCGAGCGACTCCCGGAAGAGGACGCGCTGGGAAATCCAGGCGTCCTGGGGTTTGCCGATGGCGTTAGACACGGCACCAAAAGCACGATCCACAAAACAACCGGTAAGTGGGACTTAGTTAAAATGAAAAACTTCTCTGTGAAAGGCACTGTTAGAAAATAAGACAAGCCACAGACTGGGAAAAAATATTTGCAGGATTTGATAAAAGATTAGAATTCAAAATCTTTAAAATTTTTTTCTTAAAATTTTTATTTATTGATTTGACAGAAAGGGAGGAAGGGGAGAGAGAGATTTGTTTTTCCACCCATCTATGCACTCACTGGTTTCTTCGTGTACATGCCCTGACCGGGGATCGAACCTGCAACCTTGGTGTGTGGGGATGACGCTCTAACCCACTGAGCTACCTGGCTGGGGCAGAAAAAAAAATTCTTGGAACTCAATAACCAGAAAATTAACAAAATTTTTTAAAAAATTGCTCAAGGATCTGAACAGACACTGTGCCAAAGAAGAAATGCAGATGGCAGACGAGCGTGAGAAGACACCCCACATCCTGTGTCGTCAGGGAAATGGGAATTAAAACAACAACGACATTGCCACTGCACACAGGCTAGGGCGGCCGGAGTCCAGGCCCCGACAACACCAAGTGCAGACGAGGAGATGGAGCAGCAGGAGCGCCCGCTCACGGCTGGTGGGGATGCCGCACGGTGCAGCCACTGCAGGTGACGGTTTGGCTCACGGAAGTTCCCAGCGGCCTCATTCCTGCCTGCTGAAACTGGCAGGCAACCAGGATGCCTGTCAGCAGATGATGGATAAGTAACCCGTGGTCCATCCAGACAACGGAATGTTACTCAGCACGGAAAAGACAGGAGTGGTGAAGCCATGAAAAGACTGGAAGGAGCCCTGACTGCACGTGACGAAGTGACAGAAGCCGTCTGAAAGGCTACGCACTGAGGGATTCCAACTCTGCGACGTAGTGGGAAAGGCAACCACTCTGGGACAGTACGCCACAGACGTGACTCAGTAACAACCTGGCTCGTGGGGTTTAACCACGTGCTGCAGCTGTGCAAAGTGGGAATAAGGGGCAACTGTGTGTATGTGGGGGGGGGGTTTGGGGGTGGGAACTTAACTTTCCCCTCCGTTTCTCAGTGAGCATGTAACTGCTGTGATAAGTAAGCTCTCTGCACAAAGCCACAGCTTCCTGGGGCGTCTCCCCCTCACGTCCTCCTCCAAGGGACCCAGAGGCCCAGGTCTCTGCAGGTTTGGAGCCTCCAGGCCAGGGTGAACTCACCAAGCAGAACATCAAAGGCTACGGGCCACTGAGGTCCACATTCACGCCCAAAAGCCAGCACGGTTCTGGCCAAGTTGCTCACCTTTCCAAGTCCGGTGCTAGCCCACCCACAGGAGATTTCCAGCGAGAAAGACCCCCAACGCCTGCGCCTTAGCCCAGAGCACTCCTGGGTGGGGGCACTCGCCGTGCTGAGGTCTCCTCTCTGGCACCAAGGGCAGCTCCTCCAGGCAGGTTGGGGGGGCAGGGCCGGTGTGCTCCCGGGGAGGCAGGGCAGGCTCCAGCTCTGGCCTGGGAAGCAGCTGGCTGGCTGCCCGGCTGCAGCCTGGGGAGGAGCTGGGCTCCCAGCTTGGCAACAGCCAGGGTGGGTTTTATGCTGCCTACACAGCCACCGGCTCTGGCCTGACGGTGCTTCTCCCGAGAGGACCGTCTGCAGAGGGAAGGATCCCAGCAGGGGCCACCCTGAGAGGCACCCCCAGTGTGGATGGGGCTGCAGCTGAAGGTCCCCAGCGATGCCGCACAGAAGCGGGGAGGCGCGAGGACTCACAGAAGCAGCCCCCCACCTGGGGCCCTGGGCCCGTAAGCGGGGCTTTCTGACCCTCCCCCGACCCTGGAGGTGAAGCTGGCCGAGACCCCACGCCCAGCGCTGTGCACGGCTTTTGGCCAGGTTCCAGCCTGACGCAGGGATGTGGGGTTCTGCCCAGTGGCGGCTGCGGTCAGTCGAGGTCAGGAGGGGCTGGGAACCTCCAGGCCGATGGACGCCGCGGACCGCTGAGGCCGGGGCGCGGGCGGTGTCTGTGCCCCCAGCACAGAGCAGGAGGCCGCACCTCCAGGCGGCACTTCTGTCTGTCCACGTCAGCAACTGTTTGGGGGCACTTGGGGCGCCGGCACGCTGCTTCCTCCGCAGGACCATCTCGGGCAGCAGGCCAGGCACGTGCCAGGGGTTCCACGGCCCGGGGGCCCGTGTGGTCCGGTGGCCAGTCGTGGGCTCTGTGCACGGCACACCCCTGAGGGGGGGCGCCATGGGGCGGGGATGCAGCGTGGGCCCCAGGGGGCTGGGAGCTCACAGAAGGCCTGCCCCACGTCTGCTCCAAGGCGGGGAGGGGGGGCACGCTGCAGGGGTGTTCCCCAGACCACACCCGCTGACACCCTCCCTCCCCGTGACCCTGCCCCGGGCACAGCTGTGAGTGGGCAAAGGACTCGAAGCTGAGCATCCTCTCCAGTGCCCCAGGCCTCTCGTGGGGAGGGGGGAGGACAGTTTGTGCTGAAGTACGGGGTCCGGCCTCTCGTCTGCGTGTTACAGAGCTCAGACGGAGAGAGGGAGGGGGAGAGAGAGGGGCAGAAACGCCGATCTGCTGTTCCACGTATCGATGCGCCACCGGCTGATTCCTGCTCCTGCCCCGACTGGGGAGCAAACCCCGGGAGCTTGGTGTTTGGGGGCGACGCTCTGGCCCACGGAGCGGCCCGGCCAGGGCTGCCATCCAGCCTTTCCAAAACACAGGAAGAACGCAGGCAGATGCGGGTTCCTTCACAGGGAACAGGTTGCGAATGCCCCTGTGGGGTGTGGCCGCGTCCCCTCCCCCCAGGCAGACGCGGTCCCCAGAACGACCCATCCAGGCGGCGCAGAGCGAGCAGAAGGACCCCCCAGGGTCACACGTCTCTGAAACTTACCTTTGAAAGCCGCCAGGTGCCAGCATGTCTTCCCGACGAGACCTCGCTGCCTTCCAACCAGGAGCCCTGGGGTCCTGCTCACCGGATCCGCGGGCACCCGTGCTCCGGTTTGTGGGGACGGCGCCGGACTGCGGCTCACGCCAGCGTCAGGTGTGAGCCTCTCCAGCAGAGCTCAGGGCAGGTGTGGGCGCGCCTGGAAACTCGGGCTGCACGGGCGCCCCTCCCGGCCGGCCGCCTCGGAACACCCGCAGGCAGGTGCTGGGGGGGTGTGGTCAGGGAGGGGTGGGGAGCTGGAGGCCCAGGTGGGGCCCTGGGATCAGAGCCGGGCAGGGACCAAGGCCTCCTCGGGCCGGCCCGGCACAGCCAGGGCTGCCGCACCTCACCGGGTCAGGGCCGCACCAGCACCCCCACCCCCACCCCCACGGGAGCCGTCTGCCCCCGGCCCTGGGGACCCAGGCCCCCTCCCGGGGTGGGGGGGGCTCCCCGAAGAACGAGCACTGGCCCTGGGGCAGCGTCACTGGGACGTCTGGCGGTGCCCTCCGCCCTGCCCTGCGAGAGCCGCCGGCCTCTGTGCGGTGCTGACCTCGCTCTCAGACAGGCCGAGACCCCCTTCTGTCCTCGGGCCGTGGGACCGCCGGGCTCCTGGTTTCCCTGGTGCTCTCCCCCGCACCACTCCCTCCGTTCCTCCTCGCGCCCGTCCGCAGCCCCACGGGCGGGCACTGCCACGCCAGCCGGGGTCTCTCCCTCTTCACCGTTCTTCCCGGCACCCACAGGCCACACTCGCTTCCCCGTCGTGGCCCGTCGGCTGGGCCAGCGGCGAGGGGACCTGGCGTCTCGCCATGTTCGGGGGAGGCAGCCAGCCAAGCTCCCCGAGGTGGGCGGTGGGGTCATTAGGGCATTTACAAGTGGACACCCAGCAGCCCAGGGGAGTCTGTTGGCTCGTCCAGGGTGGACTAGTGCGCAAACTAAATGTCTGTCTCCTTGAATCCGGAGTCGATACTCTTCTGGGCCCCTGGCTGCACAGCCGGTGGCCGGGTCTTTGTCCCAAACAGTGTCCCCACCGGAGAGACGGGCAGAGAGGACGGGCGGGGGCGGGGCAGGACGGGCGGACGGGGTGAGGGTGCTCGCCGAGACCACGCAGGACGGAGCAGTGAGGTCAGCTTCAACGGCCGAATCTAAACAAAGGCAGAGGGCTGCTCTTCCCACTCTTCTCGTTCTACCTTCTGCAGGAGTTCTCAACTTATTTTGAAATACGCAGTTAAAGCCATAACCACAACAAAAAAGACCTGTTTTGGTTTTCATTTCTGGCGCTGTTCCGTGTGGTGGACAACCACCAGGTCCGAAGCTGTACTAGTCCTGCGGGGTCTTCAAAGGGGCCAGAGAGCCGCCGGGGCCTGCCACCAGGCTCCCTCCGCGCCAGCGCTGCCGGTTTCTCAGCGTCCGGTGGCCCGGGCAGAGCCCCACCGGCTTTGCAGGCCGCCCGCCCCCACCCCCGCCGCCGCCCCCGCCCGACTAGGTTTCTCGCCACTTTCCTGGGCGCCTTCAGGTTGTTGTTTGACAAGGAGGCGCGAGCAGGCCCGGGCCGGGGTGTCCAGGGGTGGTGGGGGGCAGTGTTCCCAGCCGCCGTCTCCCCGGCTTCGGCGCCGCGCGTTCGGTTCACCTGTGCGCATCCCTCCCCGGCTCCTCCGGCTGCGGAGGCGGTGGCCGCGGCGGGGGAAGCGCGGGGCGGGGGCCCGGGGGGAGGGCGCGGGGCGGAGCGCGGGCACCGGGAGCGGCGGGCGGTCCCGCGGGCGGGGCGGGCGGGGACCAGGCTTCGGGTGGCAGCTGCTGGGCGCACGGCGCTCGGGGCTCGGAGCCTGGACTGCGGTCCCGGGAGCCGCGCGCCGCGCGCTCCATGTGGGCACCGCAGAGCCGGGATGAGGGCGCCCGCGCTGCTGCCGCCGGCGCTGCTGACCTGCTGCGGCTGGCTGCTCGGCCCGGTGAGTGCGCCCGGTCCCCGCCCCGCCCCGACGCCGTTCCCGACCCCCGTTTCGACCCCTCGCCGCCTCCTGGACTCGCTGGAAGCCGGACCCCGGGTCCCCGCGGCGCGTCCCCCCCCCCCGCCCCCGGCCGGGCAGCGGCCGCCTGCGCGTGCCTCGCCTCTCAGAGCGGAGCGCGAGTGGGTCGCCCGCGGCACCTGTTTACGAGGCAGAGCGAGACGCGCCGTGGCCCGGGAAAGTTTCCTTTTGGAGACACTCTGCTCCGATGTTTTGTTCTTTGCATCCTTGTGTAAGAGCGCCGGAGGAAATGGTAGGCTGAACAGAGAAGTTCGTTCGCTTAGAGCACCCGATTCTTCTCGAAAACTCTTCCTTTTCTTTGAAGACCTTTAAGGAAGGACAGAAAAGGCTGCGCACCGTGTTTACTGCTCTGTGCGCGTCGCAGCCGGAATCGCGCCCCTAAGGATTCGCTCCGGGCCTCCCGCTGCGAGGCCGAGGCCGAGGGCTGAGCGGGTCCGGTCGCGGAGGCGGGGTTCAGGGGCTGCGAACCCGCCCCCGCCCCGAAGCTGCGGGACCTGCGGCCGGTCTCCGCTCCTTGAAAACGCCGGTTGGGTACAAGTACCCGGAATTACTGTGGCTGGTGCTGCTTTAATTTCTGAGGTGTCCCAGGATCAGTGACCGCTGCTCCGCCTTGTAAAGCATTACAGTGTCTTTGAATACCTGAGCAAGAACCTGTTTTCCCTTCTAAGTCAGTAGAATCCCCGAACCCTGACGTTGGCACCGCCGCCTGCTCCTGCAAGGGAAGGCCGGCCCGCGTGCGGGAAGCAGGGTCCTGCTGTTGGGGGCTGTCCGGCCACGAGCGAGGGGGAAACGAGCTTCAGGTCCTGTTTGTTTGTTTGTTTGTTTGTTTTTACATGAGGACACACGGGCTGCAAGGTCCAGCATTGCGTTTCTTTCCCTGGTCGTTTTAGGAAACGTTGTCCTTTGTTGGAACCCTAACGGACCTCTTTCAGTCCATTATCAGCAGCAGGACAACTGAACGTAGGTGGCCACAGTGTGCCCGAGAGGATGACTTTCTTCCGTCAAAGTAGAATTCTGTCCGGACCTGGGCAGGGGTCCAGCCAGCGCTGTCAGCACTTTTGGGGGGGCGGCAGGGGGGCAGTACTGAAGGAAGGGGGCATCCGACCTTCGTGAAAACAGAGCAGAATGTCACCTTGGAGGACGGAGAGCCCTGGGCTTGTCTTTGGCACCGAGGAGTGGCGTGACTGTCCCCACCCCCTCCCCCCACCCCCCTCTAACCTTTCCGAAAAGCTCCTTCACCCTGATGCTAAGGCTGAGTTTCCAGCGTGGCCCAAAGGCCCTGAGAAGGAAGTTCTTCTCCCCAGGGCTCTTCCCAGGGGGCGGGGGCATTCCTTAGCGGGGAAGCCTGAGGGGCTGGCGCCCCTGCGCCCCTGGCAGGTGGTCTTCTCGCTCAGGGAAAATTCTGTTAGGTTGGTGTTTGTCTTACAATTCCCTCACAAAGGCAACCGTGAAGTGTTTGAGATGACCGTGCCAGAAGCAGGAAGGCGGTCGCCTTTAGATGAGTGTTCGTTCAGAAGCAGCTTAAAACTCTGTGGTTCGTTTGTTTTTTGTACAGAACTGTTGCCTCGCTGTCTTCCTACGAGGGAATTCTTCGTTACTTCTATTTTTGTTTTTAAACCTCGGCCAGGTGAACAGCATTCACCCGGAATGCCGACTGCGTCTGGAAATACAGGAGGAAGAGACCAAGTGTGCGGAGCTCCTGAGGGCCCAGGCGGAGCTGCCCAAAGGTAAGGCGAGGGCTTGGCGAGCCGGGCTGCCGACACGCACACGGCTCGTGCCTCGCTCGGCAAACGAGTGTGGTACGGTCATCCGCACAGCCCCCCCGCCAAAAAAAGATCCATTTCCACTGCTTTTTAACACACTTCTGGCAAATCTCAGATGGAAGAGAAGGTCCTTCACGTAAACCTTTACAAAGAAAGCTTTAATCCTTAGCAGAAGCCCAGTCTCCATGCTTAGAGACAGCAGCAACTGTTACTGAAATAAATTCATGGGCCCTGTCGTGCTTTGCAAAAGCAACTCTGTTTCCTATGGGTTTTATCTGATCTCTTGCATTTTCAGTCCTTACTAACATCGCAGAGGGTTCTGGTCCAGTTAAGAACAGTGGGAACGTGTCAGGAATCGAACAGCAAATGAGATTTTTCTCCTCCTGAGGACAGACCGAGCGTGACTGTCGTGACCTCGCTGGTGCATTTTCTCTGGGTCAAAGGACAGGCGCTCTCAGCTCACACACATTCGTTTCATAGACTCGGAAGGTCCTGGGGTAACGCCCAGAGTGTACGCAGGAGCAAAAACCTTCTGTCCTTCAGCTGCCTTTTTCTCTGTTCTGGGCCCTTGATTCATCCCCTTCAGGGGAAGAGTCAAGCCAAGGCAAGGTGATGTGTTGGCACAGAGTGGTGTGCCTCGGCCCAGAGCCGCAGACGTGGGCTTCGTGAGAGAGCCGAGGCACTCGGTTAACGTCGCGTTTCACGTGAGAACAAGTGAAAAGAGCCCTGGCTGGCGTGGCTTGGTTGGAGTGTCGTGCCATAAACCAAAGGGTTGCTGGTTTGATTCCCAGTGAGGGCACGGGCCGGGGTTGCAGACCAGGTCCCCAGTAGGGGGCGCAGGAGAGGCAACCACACATGGATGTTACTCTCCCTCTCTTTCTCCCTCCCTTCCCCTCTCTTTAAAAATAAATAATAGAATCTTAAAAAAAAAACACAAGTAAAAAGAAACATGGGAGATTCATTTTAACAATACATTTCATGTACCTAAATACACCCGAATCATTATCGTTTCAACTAATGATAGTAATGAGTGTAAAGCATTAACACATGGACTCAGTCGTAGAAACCCAGCGTGTCTCGGTGGACCCACCTCGTGGCTCCCGCACTGGACAGCGCCGCTCTGGACCGAGTGTCCCTCTTCCTGCCCACTCCCTCCGCTGACAGCGGGGCCTCGGGGCCAGGGCCCCTCCCGGCCACGAGGCGCAGAGACCCTGCGGCCCGCGTGGCTCCGGCACCGCGCCTTGCTCGTGGTCTGCTTGGACGAAGCAGCTCGGCCCCACGGCGGCAGGGCGGCAGGCCCAAGTGCGCGTCCTGCGCAAAGCCACGTGCTGACCGTCGGTCAGCCGCGGGACGGGTGAGGCGTGGGTCCCGGCAAAAGAGCCGTCGTGGCCTTGGGGGTCCGTTCCCTCCCGTGAAACTGGAGAGGCTCGGAAGAGCGAAGGCTGAGAACCAGCCGGTGAGCGGCGGGCCCTGGAGGCGCAGAGACCCGGCCACGTGCTGAGCTCCCGCTCTTCCTCCTACTGCGTCCGGTCTTTCCGGCGCGGGTGCCGGCAGGCAGCGGTGCCGAGTCACCGGGACGGTGGAGGGT